GAGAGAGACAGAGCATGAGTGGGGGATGAGCAAAGAGAGAGGGAGACACAGATCTGAAGCAGGCTCCAGGCTCTGAGCTGTCAGCAGAGTCTGACACAGGTCTCAAACCCACAAGGCACAAGATCATGACCTGGGCCAAAGTCAGATGCTCAACCAATGGAGCCACCCAGGCACCCAAGAAAACAGCACTCTTAAAGTCATGTGAAATAAACTTTTGACCAAGGCCACAACTACAAGTCTCATTTATCTGCCCCCAAAATAACTGTAATTCTTTATGATGAGTAGGTTAAGGAGGACCTTTTATTTTAGGTACCTTTTAATGTGATTTTAAGCTTTAACTGCTCGGTCACTTTGAGAGACTCTAAAAGAGCTCAGGCCGAGGCAAAGAGAGAAAAAAACAAATTCTAAAAATTTAAGCAAAACATGGAACTGTCAAGATTCACTGTAACTAACATGTGTACAAAATACCTCTAACTATAAGACTATTACAGCACTGTTTACATGCAAATTTGTGGGACAATGTAAAAGTCAGCAATAAGCAATTTGTTAAATTAAGGTCTAACCACATGGTTCCACAAAGAACCCCTTTAAAAAAGGAGTCAATTCAAAGATGTATTGGTTTGGGGGGGAAAGACTACGGTATTAGCATCAGGAGGAGGGGAATAAACCTACTATCCATGTAGTAAGTCTCTCTGGTCCTTCTGGAAGAATACACAATGAAAATAATGGTTGTCTGGGCAGGGGAACTTCAACGCTGAAGGACAGAGGAGAGAGTCTGAATATTCTCCATGTACCCTTTTAGAACCTTTCAAATGCTATGCTCTATATGTGTATTCCCTATTTGACAAAATAAAAAATTGACTTACTTTTTAATGAATTAGAGATTAACTTTTAGCATAGACACTGGTTTAGATAAAATCTACTAAGCAATAACCATGTCAAATTATGATACAGAATAACTCTCCTAAAACTTAGTTCCAGAGACTGAATGAAGCACATTCATTCATTCGACCAACAGTTCAGTGCCTACCATATCGTCTAGGTATTAGAGGAATGCCCAAGTCTTCTAAGAATCCCTGTCTTCATAGAGATTTAGTAGGAGCAGAAATAAATGGTATAAAATATAACTTCAAATAGTGATAACAGCTATATAGAAGAGAGGGAAATAATGGGAATAAAGAACTACAGGGGAGGGGGAGAGGAAAACCCCGTTTTGGGATAGTTAAGGTAGACCTCTCTGAAGGTGACATATGAGCCAAGAACTGAATATGCCAAAACAAGCAATGCAGTAAACAGAAGGAAAGCCCTATGACCGGAACAAACATAGGCTTTTATTGTTCAGTATACAGCAAAGAAACAGTATAGCTGCAGTGAAGTGATCCAAGGAGAGAAGCAGATGATCTCAGGGGTAGGCAGATGTAAAGCAGACCCTGAAACTAAGGGAGGGAAGATGGAATCAAGATTTTATTCTAAATGTGATGGAAAACCTTTGTAGAGTTCTGAGAAGAGGAGTGACATGATCTGTATTCTAAAAGGTAGCATTAGGGGCGCTTCGGTGGCTCAGTCGGTTAAGCTTCCGACTTCAGCTCAGGTCATGATCTCACGGTTCCTGGGTCCGAGCCCCGTGTCAGGCTCTGTGTTAGCTCAGAGCCTGGAGCCTGTTTCGGATTCTGTATCTCCCTCTCTCCCTGACCCTCCCCTGCTCACGCGGTCTCTCTCTCTCACTAAGAAATAAATAAAACATTAAAAAATTAATTAATTAATTAATTAAATAAAAGGTATGCACTAGCTGCTGCTAAGAAGACAAACACAGTAGACTAGGCAGCAAATGATGGAACTGAAAAGTGGTTTCAGAGAGATGAGTAAATGTGTCTGATAAAATGTTGTCTGTGTGGATCAGTAGGTTAAGCGTCTGACTCTTGATTTCAGCTCAGGTCTTGATCTCATGATTTTTGAGTCTGAGCCCCGTATCAGCCTCCTTGGAATTCTCTCTCTGCCCTTCCCATGTGTGTTTGCACAGAGCATGCACACACATTCTCTCTCAAAATAAAATTTAGGGGCGCTTGGGTGGCTCAGTTGGGTTAAGCCTCTGACTTCAGCTCATGGTTCATGATCTCTTGGTTCAAGCCAAGCCCAGCATCGGGCTCTGTCCTGACAGCTCAGAGCCTGGAGCCTGATTCAGATTCTGTGTCTCCCTCGCTCTCTGCCCCTCCCCTGCTCACACTCTGTCATTCTCTCTCAAAAATAAAATAAACATAAGTAAAAAAATTTTTAATAAACTTTAAAATAAAGGATATATTTTGAAAGTTAAGTGCCTAGAGAATTTCCTAGTGGATTGTATAGGAGAATCTGAGTGGGACAGTAAATGATGAAAAGTAATTCAAAAACTCACCTTATATTTGCATAGTTATTTACAGTTGTCAAGGTACATTGACATACATTATGTAATTTCATTATAAGAGGCAGGGGAAGGTCACACTGGGTAAAAATCCAAGTTCTGCCTCTTGCCAGTTTCAAAGCCCTAAGAAAATCATTTGAATGGATTTCTAGACTATAAACGATAGTCTACTTCACAAGATCAAGATCTGCAAGTATCAAATGGTCCAAGAATTTTGCAAATGTAAGGGTGCCTGGAACATGCAACTCTTGATCTCGGGGTTATGGGTTCAAGCCCCACATCCCATAAGTGTAGAGATTACTTAAAAATAAAATGAATTTTGCAAATGTAAATAATGACCATTTGGAGGTAAACAGCATCCTATTAATAGCTGTCTTCCACCACCACTGTGGTTAACAGAGAGGAGGCAAACTTAAAAAATAAACTATTTTTAATAAAAAAAAAAAAAAACATTTTTGCACTGGGTGTTATACGTAGGGGATGAATCACTGGATTCTACCTGAAACCATTATTACTAACTAACCAAGTTACTAACTAACTTGCATGTAAATTTTTTAAAAATTAGAAATAAATTAAAATATTTTTACTGAGTACAGGGAAATATACGTAACACAAGAGCAGGCACTAGGAAAAACATTAAAAACTTGTAATCGTTCCTAGGGATTGGCGAACATAGTTCTCTGAAGCTAAGCTATAAAAGGCATTGAAGTAAAACCACCTAACTTTCAAAAGATAAAACCCAAATCAAGTCGCCTTTTATTACAGATATGCTATCAACAAGATACTGTAAAATTAAGATCATATGAGTTATTACTGTCTTGGTTAAAATAGTAAAATGAAAATAGTGTAAACTCAATTACTGTGTGTCAAATAAACTGAATTATGAGGACTTCAATTCATTGTCATAAATCATTTCTGTAACTTCATTAAACAAGGTTTCACAGAATTTATTTTTCCATCCAAAGCTTTCATATTACTGCAGAAATGTCCAGAATCAAGCAAAACTGGGGGGGAAATGTTAAACTTTTGATTTACTATGTGTTTTTAGAAAACTATCTTGAATATCAATTTGTACTATGTAGTTGATAACCCCATTACAGAACACAAAAATTTTAATGGGGGAATCTTCTATCCCTCATGTTCAACTGGGCCTCAGTAAACACGACTGGGGCCATGTGAGCAAACCCACATCGTAAGAACCATCCAGTGCAGACAGCAATTAAACTGTCTTGTACAGAATCTGAGACATGTCCGTAATACAACAAATTTCGCACTATGAAGTTTCACTTTATTAAACTCCAGCATACCATGACAATCTATGCTACTTCCCTGATTTCTAAGAATTTCTACCATATAAAATGTCTTATTTCTCCAAATCAAGCACCTTTAGGTTAGAAACATCCCCACCCCACCCCCATCTCAGATATATTTAAGTGCAATTGCACGAAGAACTACACAATACATCATCCTTCCAAGATCCTGAGCTTGGTATACATCTCCCCGCAAACTTTAGAAGTAGGCTATGCCAAGGAAACGATGTTGCAAGCGAGTCACTTTAATACGCATACTGAGCAATACAGAGATCCAACTAAAATTTTCACTAAAAATGACAAGCAACTTCAAGGTTTTGTTTTGGTACACTGCAAGAAATACCGCACATCTGAGGACCTGATATTATGTAAAGAATTTACAAAACAAATGTAGAATTTTTCATGCTCCCATATGCATTTGTCAAAGTATAGTATTTATAAAGAGCCTAAGAACGGTTTAAAACTAAACGTGCATAAAATCGAGAGGCAAAGGATTTCAGTCTCCCATACCTGCGCTGCCCCTCCCCCCCCATGTTGTGTTAAACTATTCCCTCTGAGCAGAAACAGCTCTCAGAGTTTGCCAACCAGAGTAAAATCACTTCACAGAGATAACGAGCGGAAACGTATTTAAAAAGGAGGGGATCACGAAGGCGAGGGCAGCGGGGCGCGGAGCCCCACGTCCCCAGACCCCAGCAGCCACCGGCGGACATGTGCCTACCGCTGCAGGACGCGCGGCCCTCCCGGAGCCGCCTCCCGGGGCACAGGGCCCCGCCCGGCCTCCCTCTCCTGGTTCATTCATTCTGAATCCGGGGCTTCCGCACCCCCGCGCTCCCGCCCGGCCCCAAAGAAGGCTCCAGGGATGAGGGGCTGTGTCGGGCCACAGCTCCCGCCCGGAGTCCGGGCCCCGTCGCGATTCCCGCGCGCTCGCGGCCTCCTCCCGGGTGGTCTGAGAGACTGCGGAGGCCCGCACCGGCCCGCACCCGCGACCAAAGCCCCGCAACCCAGCGGCCCCACCCTCCGCCAATGTGCAGGCCGGACCTTCCCCGCCTCAGGGGCGGCCACCTGGGATCCCCCGGTCTCCGCCGCCCGGCTACCCCACCGCGGCCGGAAGTCTCCCCGGAGCCCCCTCCCCAGCGCCTGACTTCCCTTGCCGCCGCGGCCAGACCCTCTCCGCTCTGCCCTCGGGCCTCCCAGCGCGGGCCGCGGACCGGAGGAAGCGAGGAACTGCGCCGCCGGGTCCGCCGAGCGGACAAGAGCAGAGCGCAGAGCCGGGGGTTGGCCTGGGCGGTTACCTTGATAATCCTGCGGGGCAGCCCGGCCATCTTGTCAGATCCCGAGTTCGGCCTCTGGTCTTGACTCTGGCTCCGCTCGCCTCACGCACGAGTGGAAGTCCAGGGCTCCACTTCCGGGGAACGTTGCCGCGCCCGCCGCCGCCGCCGCCGCCGCCGCCGAGGCCCCTCGGGAAATGTAGTCCCTGCTCGCGCGCGGGCGGGCTTCCCTCGAACCTGGCCCCCTCCCCCGCGTTCCCCGCCCCAACCCCGGCCCGGGGATGGCGGAAGTGACGAGTCCCGCCGGGGCAGGGAGTTGGGGGAGGCGGCGCGGGGCGGTGCGGAGCTCTGGCGCTCGTGGCCGAGCTCGCCGCGCGATGTTGGGACTGCGCAGCCGGCGCCCCGCCCGCACTAGTGAGCGACGTAACAGAGGCCCGGACGCGGATGCAGCCCATTCATTCATCCGCTAGTTTTTTTGCTTCATTCAACGTTCCAGCCTAGCGCGCTGCCGCAGTTGGCGCTGCGGGAAAGACTGCGGTGAAGCTGAGCCGCGGGCTCCTTCCTTTAAGGGGGTGGGGAGGTGGAAGACCGGAACTCAGTAGCCAAACTCGTGAATGTGGGTTTCTGAAGTTATCCAGGAAAACCCTAGCCAGAGAGTTTTGAAATTTAATTTTGATATTTAAATCTCACGTAAATCGGTCCCCTTAAAACCCGGGGCAAGCTGAAAGAAGGGATTTGGAGAGAGTGGGGGCAGGGAACTGGCTTCTGAACGCCCCGACGCAACTGGTTGAGGCGCAGAGTTGCTAGCTGGAAGAATGACCAAGGACAGGATTAGAGAGCCCAGAGTAATCCCTAAAAGAGGGATTACCCATGGAGTTCGAGGCTCTAAAGGAAGATTAGAGTGGCGGTACCTGAAAATGGGATTGTCCGGGAAACATTTTGTGACATCCTGATGATTGCTTGCTTGCTATGGGATAGGTTTTTCGCGGATTTTATTTTCCTTCATCTTCACAGCAACCTTAAGAAGATGTCTCTACTTTAATCTCCACTTTGCAAATGAAGCTCAGAAACGTTAGCTTTTCCCTAGGTTATGCAGCTTTTTCCTAGCTGTTTTGATCCCAGGCGTGTCCCCCAAAACATGGACCCCTTAACTGCTTAACCATAGTGTTTCCTAGCACAGCACAGACAGTAGATAGTGAATAAAGATATGCCAGGTGCTGTGTTGAGGGATGAGAATACAAAGAGCCTGACTGCCTTCCAGTAACTTAGAATCCAATAGAGAAGAGAGACAAGTACCTGTAAACACTTAATTACAACCCATCGTGTTAAGGGGTATAATGGAGGTTGCTCCAAGGCGCTATTTGAGCCCGCAGAGGCATTAATTGGTTGACAGAGAAGGTTTCCACAGGAGAAGTAGAGTCCTCAAGGATAAATGAGAGTCCAACTGACCTGGTAGGGAAGAGCATGTCAGGCATGGGAAATAGCCTGTGAAATGGCACTGGACTACAAGAAAAATAATAATTATATATCTCTGTATCTGCATCTATTTATATGTAGATAGATAAGAGCATCAAAGAAATGGAGACTATGAGTGCAAGAAACCTAATAAAAATAAGAAGACATGTGCTGGGCACAATGCAAAATGATTTACATGGATTACCTCATCCGAACTATAAGGTTCATAAGGTAGGTTCTCTTATTACGAGTGCTTTTTAGATGAGAAACTGAGCCTCAGTGGCAATAATAACTTCACATAACCAGAAGCCTGAAATGAATGGTTCTGTGACTCGAAGAATCTGGGATAATAAATAACATCGGACAAGGATACTTTCAGGATATTTTAGAGAAGGCCCAGGAGAATTCACCCTGACAGGAAGAAAAGCAGCCTGAACGTTACGTTAGAAGTGTGTTCTTCCAGTTATCTTGTTGCCTAACAAACCAGTTCCACCTTACTGTTCAAAATGACAACAGTGGTTTACTTAGCTCTTGAATCTGCAATTTGGGCAGGGCTTGGCAGGGAAGGCGCATCTCTGCTCTATGTTGTGCTGTGTCAGCCTGGGCAGCCTGACTGGGCCTAGATCCACTTCCAAGATGGCTCACATAGCTGGCAAGTTCATGCTGGCTATTAGTTTCTCTCCAAGTGGGCCTCTCCCTGGGGCAGCTTTGCCTTTCTGAGTACACGGTGGCTAGGTTCCAGCAGTATTCCAGCTAGCAAAAACAGAAGCCAAATCATCTTTTTTGACTTAGCCCTGGAAGTCACGTTGCATCTCCCACTATAATCTATTGGTTGACTAATCACAAGAACCCACGCAATTTCCAAGGTATGTGGCATGGACTCCACCTCTTGAAAGGGGAGTGGAGAGATTCTAGAAACCAGCCCGGTATGTGTGTGATGGAAGATGTGGTTGTGGCCAACTTTGGAAAACACAAGCTGTCATAGGTACGACATTTGTTAGTATGCTTACAGCCACCTGCCTTAGTGTCACCTGCCTATGATTCCAAGTGCTGGTTAGGATAAGCCCTTCCCTCAGAGATTCTAATTCTCTAAGTCAGTGGCGAGGTCTGGGAATCTGCATTTAAATGACTAATTTTGATGGATCCTAAAATTTTAGAATAAAAGATTTTGAATAAACATCAACAAGAATGGATGAACCAAAAATGTTGCCAAGTGCCTTCTTTTGGCTACTGTCTATTAGGATAGATCATGAGTGGGGCGCCTGGGTGGCTCAGTCAGTTAAGCGTCCGACTTCGGCTCAGGTCATGATCTCACGGTTCGTGGATTTGAGCCCCACATCGGGCTCTGTGCTGGCAGCTAGCTCAGAGCCTGGAGCCTGTTTCGGATTCTGTGTCTCCCTCTCTCTCTGATCCTGCCCTGCTCACACTGTCTCTCTCTCTCTCTCAAAAAGAAATAAAACATTTAAAAAAAAAAAGGATAGATCATGAGTATCACACAAATTAAAAGTGAGTGCTCTGGAGCCCTGATCTAGGTTTGAAAACTTAACGTTTGCCTAGCTTGTCTATCTTTGATTTTCTTTACGTATAAAATGTACACACATGTGACTGTTGTGATGTGTAAATGAACCCTACATAGCACTTAAAAAGGCCTATTGTGTTCATAATCATGATAGAACCAGGTATAGTTTTCCTTAGGAAACAAGATTTCTAAAACTTGACAGTATAACTTTGTTTGGCAGAGGCTGTTTGATGGCATGAAACACTCATGAGAGTATTAATACTAAAATATAATTTTTCATGTCTCTTCTAGTTGTTTTTCCCATTCTTTTCCCCCTTGAGAACAACTCACACTCTACTCATCTGGAAAATAAAATCTGAACTTCTGATTCATGTCTATCCCGTAGAACAGGATATATATAATCTAGGACAGGTTGCCACAGGACCAAGAGGAGGTCTATTCTCAAGTTAGAAATCTAGTCAAGAATCCTCCTTATTACATCCATAAACTATAGGTAAAACAAGGATATCCACCAAACTGAATCAATTCCTTCAGAAGAGGGGTGTTGGATATTAGAAAACAGAAGTAAAAGAAAGACATTTCACTTCTACTCTTGTACCTTTAAGATTTTGAACTGTGCGAGTGTGTTACCTATTTAAAACATTAAATAATCCAATTCACTACTTTTGACAGTCTTAAGAGATATTCAAGGTTCTTTCAATGCTGATCAAGGATGATACTATACACTCAAAACAGCGAAGGATGCTGATCCACGGTATTGACTAGAGTGACCAGATAGCTCCATTAAGCTGAATACCACTAGGCAGAATTCTTAGCTAATTAATTTTCTTTGCCTTTTTGTCAGACCTCACTCTCAACTATGTTTTGTTTTGTTTTGTTTTGTTTTGTTTTCCAGTCTCTGCTCCCTCCAGGACTCCAACTACAAGTACCTTTGCATTATAATGTAGGGAGGGACCAAGCAAGAATGCTGTGCTGGAGGAATTAGAGAGATTCTATTCCATGCCAAGCCTTAGCTCCCAGAACACGATTTTATTGCATTCTGTGCCTTTCCCACCCTTACCCTCAAATATTGCACGTTTGCTACTTTGGTCCTATAATAGCAGATACATAAGTACTATTTACCTTGCAGGTAATATCTTGGGACATTTATACCTCAGCTTTTCAGTGTTGTGGATCTCTTCCATTTTGGTCACCAGTGTAGCCCTGGGGCCTAGCTCAGGGCCTACTACATGATAGTTTTCAAAAAATATTTGTCAAGGGAATGAACCAATAACTATAGGAGGAAAATGAACACCGCTTTGAGAATAGGTCACATCGATTCATGATCAGTAAGTGAATGCTTACCGAAAGCACAGGATGTTTATGCCCACCCCTAAACTTTTCAACTTCCTGAAGGGCAACGGCTTTTTTCTTTTTTTTTTTTTTCTTTCCACAAGCCACCTTGTGCTTTACAGAGACAAAATAGAAGGTGAGTTTGGAATATGGTAGATCAGCCACCTCTAATAGAGGCCCTGTTTCAACTCAAGAGTGGAGTCATCTGGCAGGAATATTTGTTTGCAAGTACCCTTCTTGTTTCTTGCAGCATAAGAAAGCCCTTTAGTGGGCGATCAAGACAGGAGTATCTGTGAGAAGAGAGCTCATGAACACAGTCAGGGAGGAAGTGGGTGGGGGAGGAAGAAAAAGCTGCACACCGATTTAAAAAAGAAAATAATGCCTGCTGCCTCATACTCAAGACTTCAATGTAAATAGCTGAGCACTTACAAACTGTTAACCAACACAATGCCAGCCTGTAAGTAGGAGCTGAGTGGGCTCATGGAGGGTCATAAGAATACTAGACAATGGTGGAGGCCATCAGGAAAGACAAGACCCAGGGGAATCAGAGTAACAAGGTTTACCTTTGTTTAATGCCTTATGCTTTACAAAGCATTTTTGAATGTTACCTCACCCACAGGGAGCCTTTAAGTGCATGCCTCGCTGGAGGCATTCTGTGGAGCCCAAAGTTGACTCCACCATATGTCTATAAAGGTAGATGGGGAGGGGAGATCTTTCTCGGACCAGTTCCCAGTGTAAACAGGATTCCAGGGGATCGTGACTCAAGACATTTGGCCGGAAGCCTGGCTGGAACGGAAACTCTGGAAGCAAGGTTCTCTTCCCTGCAAATGTGCGCC